GTTGATATTCTCCGTTGTGAAAGTCTAGCTTCTCTAACTCCTGCTACTCTAGATCGTTTGTTTTCCCGTGACTATGATATTGTTGTGTCAATGATTCCTCTTCCACTTACGACTGTTCTTCCTGGACCGTCAGGCCCTGTTCATTTCGGTCCTCCCTCCCATTCATCCATGACGCAGTGGATGAAACTGGTATTGTATTCAACCGTGGGCACTGGGCCTTTGTCGGTTATCTTAATGAAAGGGCAGTGTCTGCGGATGCTTCCTGCTCCACTAGCTGGCTGTGAGAAAGCTCTCATTTGGTCTTGGGATGGATCTTCGGTTGGTGGTTTAGGAAACAAGTTTGAAGGTAACTTGGTCAAGGGAGGTATTCTGTTGCACTGTTTAAATTGCCTTCTCAAGTGCTCAGCTGTTCTCGTTCAGCCTCTCAGCAAACATGATCTTGATAGCTCTGGAAGAATAGTTACTTTAGATATACCATTACCCCTAAAGAACTCTGATGGTTCCATTCCTCATTTCGGCGACGAGCTTGGACTTCCCCTTGAGGAAAATACAAAGTTAAACTCTCTCTTAACTAAACTGGCAAACAACATGGAGTTAAAGACAGTTGGTTACATTCGCCTTTTGAAACTCTTTAAAGCAAAGGAGTCGTCGGATAACTTTTCTCCGGATAATAATGAGAAGTATGAATGGGTTCCTTTAACTGTGGAGTTTGGGTTTCCACTATTTAGTCCAAAGTTGTGCAACAATATCTGCAAAAGAATCGTCTCGTCACAGTTACTTCAAGCAGATTCACTCATCGAACAACACAATGCAATGCAATGCATAAGGAAAAGGTTGAAAGATATATGTGGACAGTACCAAGCAACAGGTCCATCAGCTAAACTTCTTTACCAGAAAGAACAAGCAAAGGAGCCTACCCGGAATAATAAGCTCATGAACTACGCAAGTGGAAGGTGGAACCCACTCGTGGACCCTTCCTCACCGATTTCAGGAGCCACAAGCGAATTTCAACGGCTCAAACTAGCTAATCGCCAGCGTTGCCGGACTGAAGTTCTGAGCTTCGATGGTAGCATCCTTAGGTTAGTTTCAATTCCTTTCCATGTTTCATGAATTTGTTTTTTCTTTGCTTGGTTGTTGAGAAGTTTTGGGGGGTGGTCGCAGATCCTACACCTTGGCACCAGTATATGAGGCAGCCACAAGGAGCATTGATGAGAATGCACCTTCAAGTACAGCGAAAGCAGATGCTGATGAAGCAGATAGCCGAGAAGTGATTCTTCCAGGACTAAATCTTCTCTATGATGGTTCAGAGTTGCACCCTTTTGATATTGGCGCTTGCCTTCAAGCTCGTCAACCAGTTGCTCTCATAGCAGAAGCTGCTGCTGCGTCTGCATCCCTCGCCCCAAAGTAGACTAGTACTCAAAAAAGATTCTAAACCAGATTTCATTCGACTTTAAGGAAAAGGTAAATGTTGAATTTGGTTTTGGTTTAAGTTTGCCGACTAAAACGAATGACAAAAGATCTAACTCCGCTACATGTATTTGATTGCAGGTCGGGTTTTTGTTTGTTTGTTTTACATCCGCCGCGACCATCAGACCATACTGATGTTGCTTACTAGCAATGCAGTAGGAATTATACGATATAAATATTTGGCTAACGAGCGATATTGAATGTATCCTTATACCCATTTGTATGCTTCGCTTGAATCTTTTTTTTGAAGACTGTAGTGTCAAGGAAGCTGTGGTTTATAGAGGATGTTATAGAGTTTTGGGTTGGGATGAAAAGTGTGTTGCACAGATTTTATATCAATTTGTTCCACAATTGATTTGCCCGGTTATTAGATGAAAGTCTTTTTTTCCTAATAACAAATTAGATTTTCAAATTTCAACACAAAAAAAAAAAAAAAATCTCTTTTGGCTACGTGTATGTGTTTACATCATTATGATCTTAACATCATTTGCTAAAATTTTATCAAAGATGTAATTAATAGTAATTACAAAATCAATATATTAAAATTTAAAAATCATTAGAACTCTCATAAATTAAACTCACATTGAGAAAATACCACATTACTATAATTCATATTAAAAAAATATTAAAACTACATCTTCTAATATTTTCGACCTATAATAAAGTTTTAATATTTCCTCCACAAAAATCATTACCATAATAGAATTTCATGTCTTTTGACTATTTTCCCTTAATTTGTAGTGAAATTAATGGCTAGGCAAGATTTATTAAAATATAAATTTGGCTGATGATAGCAATCTCCATGAGCTATAGACGTGTAACTAGGATTACCCTGTACTTTTATCCCTGTCTAATTTAGCATATACTATATATAAACTTCTTAATATTACTTAAATCAATAATAATCTCCCTAGTTAGAAAATTCTTTATTTTTTTTTTATTTTTTTTTGAATAATCAAAAAGGTTATGGGCGGAAGCCCATAAATCTGAAATATACTAGATCACTTCTCATGGCCACTATAGATTAGTATAGAACCGAGCTTCATGTCTTTTTACTTTACATACACATAATACTAACATGCACACAGAAACATGTACTATATGTTACGTAAATGAAGAAGATCTCATGGAGCTATATATGTGTAAATTTGTTACTGAAATTAGAGAGATGATGCCCAGAAGGTGGTGGGCTAGTGGTAGGGGAGCTTAGGAGGAAGGGTGCAACTCCCAGGTTGTCTCCACTTTGCTGTTAACACCATTTTTCTTGGAAGTCTGTCAGTTGGGCTTAGGTCCAATTGGTTTACCTGATAATCAGAAATGTAGGCGGTCTAATTCCCCTCGGGCATTAGTCGGAAAGCGTTAATCTGGATTCAGACGATGTGGTAGCCCAACACCTAGGTATTGGCGACGAGTCCACATTGTAGCACCTCGGTGTGATCCTCCCAGAGCTGACCGGATCAGCCGATCGGGTTTATCACAAAAAAAAAAAAAAAAATTAGAGAGATGGACCTTGTGCTTCCTTTCAGTTCGAGACATGCGAAAGGCTTGAAGGCTTTTGCGCTTCGAAAAGGCAAGATATTAAGTGGTCGCCTCCACGAACATATGGAACAACCACATGCATATTTGGAGCTGTCTTGCCTGTAGTTTGAAACATTGCCAAACAAGTTTTTTGTTTGGTTTGTGAATATTGGTTTCACTATATATATAGAGGATTACAGATGAATATTTGGATGCAAAATGCATTTATTGTAAAACAGTTTTCTTGGTGAATAAATTTTACATGAAAAGTACTTGGGTTTACCCCTAGGGATGAACTACTCTTGTTCACCCCCTCTTAGTTAACCAATCAAAATACAACAATATGCCATGTTAATTTTTTATCTAAAAATGTAAATCAAAATTAGAATAAAAAATAAAACAAATTCTGAAAGATTTTTATTAAGAAAATATATTTCGGTTTGGGTTTATAAAAAAGTGGTTAGAGTTTAGATTTTGTCATCAAACGGAATTATATTTCGGTTTGGGTTGACAAAATAATGGTTAGAGTCTAGATTTTGTAATTCAACGAAATTATATTTTGGCTTGGGTTGACAAAATAGTGGTTAGGGTTTAGATTTTGTAATTAGACAAAATTATAATTCGGTTTGGGTTAATAAAATAGTTTTTAGTGTTTAGATTTTATAAATAAACGAAATTATATTTTCGGTTTGGGTTTATAAAAGAGTGGTTAAGGTTTATTTTATTTTTGATTTATTTTTTAAATATAATAAGACATGACATATTGTTGTATTTTGATTGGCTAATCCGGTGAATAAGTCCTAGTGGTGAACCCAAGTATTTGCCCATTTTACATTCATGAAAAACAATTCCCTAATAACACTAAACTAAAATCTGTATAACGTCATTTAGACCACTATTTTCGTAATAAGAAACATAATTATTTAATTACACGTAAGTTTATATCGCCTCTAGGTACGTAGAAAATGATAAGCCATTCCATTGGGTAAAACACTATCTTCACAACATCACGTTTGAATTTTAGTTTTGTTAGTCTTTTCGTTTAAATTTTACAAATCATAACTTACTAACTTTTGTTTTGCTTAGATCGGATGATTGCTTTAGTGTTTTGTTCTTTTTTTCTCGTGGATTCACAACTTTGTATGCTACTCAATAATATAACAATATACTATGTGGTAGAGACTAGAGAGTGAATAAAATTGTAACATTTTACTCGTATCACTCAGTAGGAGGAATCCTCGCGTGTGAAACAATCGTAATCAGACACGTTCTTAGCTAATCAGACAATCTTATAAATGAAACATGATTCAGATTGAGACATTGCTGAAAATAATTTGGAGCAACGAATAATTCATGCTAGAAAATAATTTCCACATGTTCATTAATGAGCAACGAATAGTTATATATAAAGTACTCAATAGTAGTTTTGATTGCAGCAACGAATAGTCATATATATAGTACTCAATAGTAGTTTTGATTGGAGCAACGAATAATTCGGAATAAATTCCAAATTTCACAAGGCAGACTTAGGTATATGGTATTCAAATTTCAGATAGTACCACTAATCACTTTAGTGAACTACATAATCTACGGAGCCAACTGATTTGAAAATAGCACGTTCATCTCGCTTTTTTGTTCATTTTGGCCTAGTAGAGTCGGAAACTCGGAGCCTATCACAGAAAAGCTACCCGGGGTCCTCTCAAGCGCCGAGCAATTCGCGATGAAAAAAGTAGTCCTTCTTGCCGGAGCTGAAATAGCCGGGTGCATGTGAAGAGGTTTTATTTGTGTTTTGAAATCATAGTTTAATATAAATGGTTTGAAATATAGTCTAATATAATTTATAGATTATTATCCTCCTAAGATCAAGTGACTATTCAATTCTTGAAAACTAAATATCAAACATTGTAGTATCATTTTTAATCTCTCGATAGTAGTTGTCTCAAGATAATATCACACCATTATGCAGCATGAGCTTACACACTCTGATATATAAAACATAAGACTGTGGGAAAGAGTTAATTAGTATCATCTTCTTGGCGTTGGAAGTGAACAAAGTTTGATCGTATATCAGATGGAATACGAGTAACGCGGTACTTGTTGTCAAGCCAGACACCAGTTCCTTTTGCCTCCAAAATAGGCTGCTTTGTTCATCACACACCAAAACAATCCTAATTAGATCTCACAAGTAATAAACCAACACAAAGGCTTGACGGGAGCAACAAAACTAACCTCTTGATTTGGAAGTTTATAAATGAAATGTTCAAAGTAAACGCGCGCAATAGTTACTCCCGTTATCCTCGATTTCACCACGAATTTGCATCCACTCTGCTCAGAGAAATCAATTAGTCAAATATACAAAACTTTTGAGACTATAAATTAAAATGTAACAAGTTTTAGGAAAAGAGTGGTCAAAGTTACACGTAAAGGTGCAAGGAACTTTATTGTCAACTCAGAAATTGCCAAGGCTTCACCAGAACGAGCTATTTCTTCACAACTAATACCGATACTTTCCAAAAACTCGTGTCGACCTTAGTAAGAAAACAAGTTGTACAAAACATATTTGGTGAGAACTGTATGTAGGTTATAAGTCTTAGACCGTCATTATTAATGGTCTCTTAACAAATGTTAGAGCTAAGATTTGTTAGAGAGACTCTTATATAAGAGCCATTTATTAGCAAATCTTATCCTTAATAGTATAACCACGCAGTAGTCTCTAACTCGACTCCATATCTGAGACAGCGACGAAAGTTAACTTACTATGTTGGCAGTAGTTTGCGTAAACAGCATTGTTCACAACACCAAATTGATCCAGTTCATAATCGCGAACTTTAAGTTCAATCTCATGGAACCCATTCATTCTGCCATATGGAAATTTAATAAGTTTATATAAATATGAAATATATCAAATCACTCCCTCTTGGCCACGGTAGAAATGTTAAGTATACATAAGAGACATTTGATTTATTACATAGTTAGAGAAGAGGATAGCATGGAGCTATAAATTTGTGAAAACATTAACTTTGATGATTTCATGGTGTTTCATATTCATATTCATATTGTGCTTTAAAACTAAAAAAAAATAATGATAAGTAAAACCTACAAAAGAAATAAATTAATGTTTGAACATAATTTGAAAAAACTATCGCATGGCCTTATATTTTTGAATTAACCTTAGGCTTCTTTACGCGTAAATTGTGGTCTGAAGCAAAAAAAAAACCTTTTTTCCTGTTTTTATAATTTAAAGTACTAAGAAAATAGTATAGTTTTAACAAAAAACCCAACCAAGAAATAAACAATAAAATAGCAAAACTTTGAGGGAAAAAACTAATTAGTCTCCTTAAATATAAGTCTCCTTATAAAAAATATAAACTACTCATTTTTTTTTTTTTTTCCTTTTTTGTTGATGTTTAGAATTCTAATCTTTAAAAAAGAAAAAAAATCATAAAGAAATATCACATATGATAAAATCATAAAAGAAAGATAAAAGAAAGGTCAAAATATTCTCACACAAACCATTTTCTTCGTTAAAAGAACTATGCAAGTCCAAATACTATATATATCAAAACCCGTTACACACAGTATCATAGCAAAACTGTGGCCTCATAAAAGTTTAAAATCTAGGGCAAGCGGCATGAGTATGGACTGAGTATATAGTAGTTAATAAACCGATGTTAAATATTTGCATAAGTATTCCAAGTATCATTTCTATAAGTGATGTAATATTCCTTTGTATCACATATAATTAATGCAAATTAAAGATGCAAAATAAATGATACAATCAACTCATTTATGTATATCTACAAACTTTAAGGATTACACTACAAGAAAACATATCGATTTTCGACCACCATTTCCGACCAAAATAATAGTCGGAAATTTTCCGACAAATTTCCAACCATTTTCCCACTAATGTATAGGTTTTGGCTTATAAATTAAAATTAGATATATATGTACCCTTTGCATCCTTTTAGTTCGAGGCATGAGAGAGGCTTGAAGGTTTTTGCACTTCGAAAAGGCAAGCTAGGTGGTCGTCTCCACGAACATGGAAACACCAAATGAGTATTTGGAGCCGTCATGCTGGTAGCTTGAAACATTATTGCACTATTTTGGAATGAGGATACCCTAGCGTGATGAGTACGTAGTTGACAACTTTTTTTTTTTTTTTTTTTTTTGTAGTTGACAACTTTTTAGTTTGGTATATATAGAAGAATACAGATGTATTTAACATGTTTACGTAACTTACAGTATCTTCTAGAGTACAGTATATAAAAACAATCAGTCTACGAGTACAGTATCTTGGTCCATCATGATAGGTAACCAAGATGGTTTGTGTTAGGGTCATCGACGAATAAAAATTGATCAATTTATTTGTTTGTTTAAGGGCGATTAGGGTTTAAGGGTTTGGATTTCTGAAACACCCTAACCCGGAAACTAAAAATTCATCGGAGAAAACATTCCGACGAGACTTCCGGCGAGAAATCAACTTAATAAAAACATACTTAAAAACATGCGTAAACCATTTTAAACACATTTATAACGAACATAACTCCATACAATCAACAATAAGAACACATTTACCTCCATGTGTACCTTATCGAATCGGAGTCTCTGAATCGCACATCATCCATCCGTATCAACCTTGCTAATGATCCAGCCTTCATGACTCCATTCTCGCATCACCGAACACGTCTCCTTCATTCATCGCTCACCATCCCTTATTGTTTCTTAGTCACACAACCAACCATCCCCAAGTGACCGAGTAACAATAAGAGATGGGCTGGATGCTTGATCCGTCCAGCCGCGGACATTCTTCTCCGCCAATTGCTACGTTCGACCCTTGGTCGCCAATCATCAGTCATTCTCGATCCGATCATACACGCTTCAACCATCCTTCGATTATTACACCGGCACACTAGCTGTATCGCGTGATATCGCAATAGGATTCCCATCCGAACATACATATCGCCAGATAGCCCATCTAACGATTCTTAATAACGATCTTTCGGCCACCGACGTACACACTCTCGATACCATTAATCTCCCTCGAGTACTCTCGATAAGACATACTTAGAAACCTGTTCCTCGATTTCTCCATAGAACATCTTCGATCGTCCATCACCTCTCGATGCGATCCGTTTATACCTCGATCGTTTCGCCCACCGAGACTATTTCATACGTTTCCACCGGATTCTTCATCCGCAATAATCGTCGATCTCGATCCAAGAATACAAGATCTCGATCCTCATAAAATACTCTCGATAACTCTCACTCTTTTTCTCTTCTTTCTCGATCTCTTCCTTGACGGCGCTCAAAACGCACAATAACGAATGATAAACCCTAGTTCCATCGAGCCATCTTTTATACTCTCGAGTAAACAGCCGATCCTCCGATATTCTCTCGAGAATATTCGCATATCCCAACACTTAGTCGATAAACTCGACTTAATATCCTTTATTCGCACCCACACTCGCAGGCCACGAGTTTGGGCCGATAGAAAGCCCACGGACTAGCACTTTATCGATAGCCACTCGACCAATTCTGTCCGGACATCGATAGCTTCCGACAACCATCCGAAAATTCGGCATTCTAGATAAGCTTCCGACAAAACATGTCCGAAAGACACTCTTGTCCGAACCAACCGAACAATACATCGATCCTCACCGAATATTCGGATTTCCATCCGCTAATACCGATCCTTATCGATAAACCTTCGATCACATCTAACATTTTCTCGATCATGGAAAAATCCTTCGATAAACTTACACATATACTCGACAATAGGCTTCCGGATACCATCCAAGAAAAGCCGGAGACGGGCGTTACAATTTCCCTCTACGAGTGAATTCTAGGATTCATTTCTATTCTTTATAAGCAATTAGAATTTGACACCTGATCAGTTAAATTAAAATTATTTATCTGTATAACAAAGATTAACATAAATCGTTAAATTAAATCATATAACAATATATCCAGGAAAATACTTAGGTTCATCCAGGAAAAATACAACAATATGCCATATCTTTTTCTTTTTTAAAAAAATAAATCAAAATTGAAATCAGAAAAATAAAACAAATTACGGAAACAAATTATGCAAGATATTTTACTAAGGAAATTATATTTCAGTTTGGGTTAATACAAGAGTGGTTAGAGTTTATAATTATATTTCGGTTTGGGTTCATAGAATATTAAGGTTTGTTTCAGTTTCTGATTTTGATTTTGATTTCTTTTTTTAAATATAATATGACATGTCATATAGTTATATTTTGATTGATTAATTAAGAGGGGGTGAATAAGAGAGATTCACCCCTAAGGGTGAACCAAAGTATTACTTATCCAGAGTCTATATATCCGTTTTGATATATAAGAAAGAGACAATGTTTTTTTTTGTGACAATTATAAACGAAACAATTATATCGGTTTGGGCTTATAAGAGAATATTATGGTTTATAAATTACATTTAAACGAGATTATATATCGGTTTAAGGTTACATGTTGATTTTGGTTCATTAAAAATGGTTAGGTTTTAGAACGAGGTTATATGTCGGTTTGGATTTATAATAGAGGATTATAATTTATATTTCACAATCAAACAAAATTATATGTCGGTTTGAATTTACAAAAAACTGATTAGAGTTTAAAATTATAATTAGACGTGCTTAAGTGATGGTTTCGACTTTATAAAAAAGTGATTAAGGATTAGATTTTATCATTTTATTTATTTTATTAGTACGTAGATGCATGGTACATTCTGATCGATTAGAAAAAGAGGGAGCGAATAAAATGATTCATCCAAGAAGTGAACTCAAGTATGAAGATGCAGTTCCAGAATAGCTTGATGTGAAGATCAGGAAGCTGCATCTGTTCAGACGCCTGAGATCACATCAGACGCCTGGGATCACATCAGACACTTGAAGTTGATGACATGGAGTCGTAGGATGACGTGGCAAAGCTTAAGTGGATGGAGTGACGTGCTAAGGAAGATTTCTTGCTTGGCAGCAAAGATAGAGACGAATTGCGTGTGAAGATATTGTGAATATTCTTCACATCAAATAAGGAAAGGATGAGCTTGACAAGCAAGCATATTCCGTTTCGGTGAGATCCTCGAAGATCCTAGGGTTAGGGTTTCGAGTAGTTAGTATAAATAGTCTAGGGTTGGCCACGAGCCACTTTGAACACTTTAGACTCTTTGTACGTGATTGTAAACTTCGAAGCTAGCAAAACAAAAAGCTGAGAAGGTGAGTGTTTATTTTCTCTTGGGACTACACGGGTGTAGGAGAGATAGGTTTTAGTGCTCGTTCTTTAGTCGGGTTCAATTCTATTGGGAGGAATAGATTGAGTAAGAGCCGAGACAAAATTGTATCCTAGGAAAAGATAAATTTTGTTAATAAAGATCGAAGGAAAAAGCGTTTGCTTGGCGCGTTCCAAGCGTAACTGTCTGTGTTTCTCTATACGTTTTCAAAGTATTGTTCTTAGAAGAATTAATTTGTTTGATTAGCTATAACAAAGTAAAAAGACGAAAAATTCACCAATCTAAAATCTTCTAAAATCCTAGTTTCAATACACCCCCTAATTCTTTTGTATCAAGATTCACACAATACCTAATTAAAGAACAAAAGCATTTAGGCATCTCTACATTAATATCGCATATGATAAATGATAACCATTTTGGTTTCCATTTCAAATGAAAATCCGTAACGTTATAGCATTCGTCAATCATTCTTTTTAGGGGTATTTTCCAAATTTAATTGTGAGAGGGTGTATTAAAAATCTACATGAAGTCACTACATCCTAGGGCTCCCACAAAGTCAAATTCTAAATTACTCGTCGAAACTAAGGGGGTGTATTCAAAGTAACATTTTAAGAGATTTGAGTTTTATTGAGATTTCGATGATTTTCGGTAACTTCATATGATTTATGTAAAATCCTTTCAAATCCCACCTAAAACTATGAGATTTAGATTCTTATATTTTTAAGTAAGGAAGTTATCTGAAATCCTCTGAAATAATTTAAAATCAAATCCACAAACTGTTTTCAATAACAGTGGATTTTAAGGTGGATTTTAAAATGATTAGTTCAATAACACTGGATTTCATGAGACTTTTTAAAATTCATGATTGAATAACACTAGATTTGTAAACTTTTTACAAATCACTTGAAATTCCACTTTAAATACACTCCCCTAAATTCTTGTGATACAACGGTTAGTATATATTTAGATAAAAAAAAGATTATAAAGTTAGACATTCTTATATTGAAGTAATTAAATTAGTAAGGATAAAATTGTTTTTTATGTTTTATAAAATGTTCTTGTTGAAAAGTATTGAGCTAAAAGCCAAAAAGAGCATTTAAAAGTTCGATAAGCTTTTTGATAAAACATGATTGGATGTTAAAAGACATCCAAACTTGACTGAATACAACAAAGATATACCCAATCTTAAAAACATCATGAGATGCTATATATAGGTGTTCATATTTATGAAATGTTGAAGTTACAACCAAATCTTGAAGATGCTAGATTGAACCAATCCGAGAACATAGATAAAACTCCTATCCAAAGATTTGAACACCGTTTAAAGATAACCTTTACAAGAGTCATAATCGAAAGGTTCTAACTCCTACCAAGAGATTCGACAATAGCAAAATCTTCTATCATTACTCATTAGCGCGAGAGGATGAACCATGACAAGTCTTATGAGAGGGTGCGAAGCGTTGTGACAATATGACAAGTTTCGATTTAATATTAAAGAGGCTGAGTATACCGAAACTCATAATCTAGTATTTTAAATAATTTGAGTTTTCATGATTTTTTAAATGATTTTGATGATTTTAGGGAAGCTTGTAAAACCATTCAAATCTCAGCTAAAACTCTAAAATTATGAAATATTTATTTATGTATTTTTAATTAAAGAATTCCTCTCAAATCCTCATAATAACAACTACTCAAATCTGTCAACAAAAAAAAAACTACTCAAATCTATAAACTGTTTTTAATTACTAGTTTTTTTTTTTTGGACAAGAATTACTAGATTTTAAAATATACTTCTTAATTATTAGTTCAGTAACATTGGATTATTTAGATTTTTAAATTCATTAT